GCTCTACATTGTGTTACATTAAAACTTATCCAATGACTACAAATTAGGTGGTTCAGTACCCTAACAAAAATTGTTTTAATGTTCTTGCTGCTGTTCTCTTGTTACTTTCCCATCTATATCGAATTGGAAGCAAAGGACAAGACTGTACAGAATTCAATATCACATAATGCCAGAAGTTTCAGAAATACTGAGGTCTGATGTCCCTGGTTAGATCCATATCCAGTGATACAGAGAAAGAGACACTGAACACTGACAGGAGCTTGTCTCCACAGGAGATAAAATCTTAGCTAAGTATTACCAGGGTCTGTGGAGGCCTGAGCATAAATAAGGAATACATTTCCAAGTTCAAAGTCAGAAAAAATGTCACTGCATGTCCACCCACTGAAACACATTCTCACTCACTGGCCTGCCTCTGACACTGATGTATTCTCCAGCCATCCACTTGGTGCATTTTAGATACTTGCTTCCAAACAGCATCATCTATTCTCTAATGATCTTTCTAACACAAATGTCATTTAGATAGATAAATTATTTTCTAGCCATGCTGTGATAAGCCTACCCTATTTTCTCCCAGCTTCTCTTGTTAAGGACAGGTAAATAAGAGCATTTACAAATAGCTCCCATCTAAGCATCACAGGCTGCAGCTCATAATGAATAAATGGCAGAAATAACAGCAGCAGACCAGCATTGTCTCCCCTCCCACATGACTGTCCTTCAGCTACCTAATGCTCATAGTTTTTCAGATCTCATTTTGGGAATGCTGACAGTTCTGGATACTGCATCAGTGTCAAAACCAAAATTGGCAGGGCCCTCTGCTTCCTCCTAGCTCAGCTGTAGTGGCTAAAGAGCTCCTGCCTAATCACGTAAATATGTTTCTGTGCAAATTGCAAAGCTGCCTGTCAGTCAAACCCCAGAAAAGCCCAAAGGATCTTGAAATTCTGAGGAGACTTCTCTCAGTGACTTTCGCACAATAGGAGCAAGCAAACTGTTTTATTAAAATGAAGATATGTTCCTGAAACATCTGCCCAGAAGCAATTTGTGAGTGAACTGAAGGAGGGCCTCCAAGAATTCAGCTCACCTGTGATGCTATTCCAGCACCAGCCAGAAGTCATTATTCAATTAAAGCAAGAAAAGATTTCCTTTACACTGAATAAGCTCACTAAATGCTGTCATTTTGGGAGGACCCACATGATGCCCAAATTCTAGTAAAAGTGCAAATAGCAAAAATATTGGGAACAATTTATTCAATATCTTCTAAAGGAAATACTTCATTCTGAAGTGATGTTTAAACATTGCTTCCCTTTAGACATCAATCTGTGTTTTTAATTGGCAAAGAAATTAAAACCATTGAATAATCTGAACACATTTCATTCACCCTCAAAGTGAAATAATTCCTTCAACATTGACTCATTCTGATACTAATTTCAATTTTAACCTTTCCTCAAGACACATGGAACCAAACAATCCGTATACAGAAGCAGGCACCCTTTAGCATTACGTTTTTCAGGTGACTAATATTATTTTCTTTAGAAATTAAGAATAAGACTACACAGATGGGTACACTATTTGGCTTGCTAAACACTCTCAACAACTTCCATCTTATTTCATGGTTTGCCTGTTTGCTTTCTAAGCAGCAAATTTCATAGTACTGAATAAGACATTTATGGACAACCTCCATTCAGTGGCACTGCTTTAAAAAAATGCAGATTTGGGGCCTTTGGTAGTTAGTTTCCAAACAATGAAAAAATGATCATGTTAATGAGCATTCCCTAAATCTGTTGATGATTTTAACTCTAGCACAAGGCCTTTCTGACCTGCATATGCCAATCTTTTTGCCCCCAGTTCTTCACTTGTGGTTTCCGTGGGGCAGCACACTTAAAACACAACACTTCATCCTCAAGTCACCATAGGAAATCAAAATTGAACTCACAATCACTGCTTTGTTTTGAAGCCTCTTGCTGTGCTGCTGGGTGCACACATCCCAGTGTAGCTAAACCCATGAATCCATGGGGAATTGCAGCAGCTGGACTATAGAACTCTAGATCAAACAGAAGGCATTTTCCAGAGCACTTTTATTTAGAGAAGTGTCCATTGTCGTTAACAGCTTTTGTTCAATCTCACTATCCCATCCCAAAGAGATGGGAAGAAAAGTTTTCATATGTGGCTATTCTAACATTGAGAAAAACAGGAGGATTTGAAAGGCAGTGCTATAAAGACAATTCCAGTTAAATTAGTATAAAATTATTTCATATAAATGCTATGTTGTATTCACAAACTACCATCCATGTTTTCAGAAACTCAGCACAACATTAAAAATATTGACGTCTCACATCTATTCCACTCTTTCAGGCTACAAAGATATCTAGAAACTCAGAGTAACTCCTGGCCTAAAAAAAGTAGCACAAACATAAAACATGTCATGCAGCAGAGTCAAAACCAAACCCACAGATTAAAAACCTCAGATCCCTCAGTTTCAAGGGAATAAAGAACATGTAATTGGGGTAGTTTTGCATTTCTTGGTAGCCACTAATTTAAAACAGGAATAAAACCACTCTACATTATTCTATGTGTAGCAGGGGAAGAAAGTCTAGAAATTCACTTATATGTTAAGGGCAACATAAAATTAAGCAGCTTCAAGGTCCAAAAAATGATGTCAATTGTCTTCTAGGAAAAAAATATTTTAAGATAAAAAAGTATTATTGGCATCTACTCTGACCCCTTGAGTCTATAGGCAAGACTATTGCACAGTAATTACTATTTTGTATCTATAATTCGCAGTTGGCTTTTTATAATTTCTGTTTTAAACAAGAAATCACCTTCACTGAGAGACCATTTAACATCACATTGTGGAACTGTGCAATAGAAATCAATTACAGGTATCTGTACAGTTAATGATCAGCCCACCTGAAAGAAGTTATATTTTCTAACTCTGGGGCACATCAGTTCATGAAAGCAAAAAAATTTTTCCAGCAGAGCCGGATGCCTGACTTGCAAATCTAATTCCAATAGTTCTTCACTACAGTTCTGAGGAAAGTAGAAATTTCCTGACAGTGGGCAAAAGTCAAACCTAAGCAATACCTTTAATTGGCAATTTAAGAAGGTAAAATGAAAATGGGTTTTTGTGAAATTTAACTCAATGTATATTTGTGACTACCTTTGTCAGAGCAAATATAATCTATAGGGTACTCTACTGCTCTCCTTTCTCCCATTACTTGCTAATCAGAAAATTGCTTACCCAGAAAATGGTCTCCTGTAGTAGGAAGCTGAACAGGTTTAATGTATAATTTATATATGGAAATGTAGGTGTCAACACTGACAATTCATCAGATAAATATTTTTGCAGTTAGAGTTTTCTGTATCTGTCTCCCTCAAAGAATGAGCATGATACAGATTATCTCAATGATACGATGTTGTTTTGGTATGTGGAGCTGAACTGCATTTTTAATTTTTTCTCAGCTACAAATCAATCAAAATGAACAAGGCTTTTGTAGTGCATGAGAGAAGATGTTCTGATGCCATCCCTCTCTACAGGGCCATTCACAGTGAGAGCACTAACTTGAAAAAACTAAAAATTAAACAGAATGAGGTTTTCCAACATGCACCTTGCCATCTCTGAGGGATCATTTTCAACTCCTACTATGGCTGACTAGGGTGTTCTGGACATTCCCCCCTCATTTTAAGGCTACCGTTCTAACAGTCCAGTCATTCCATGCAGCTCTGTGCTTCAAGTGAGTCTGGAAAATATTTTTGCTTTGAAGCACTTTTCTAATAATAGTCTTTGAATTGATAACTATCTAAGGGACACTTTGTAAGGTTCAGAAGCTCTGGATATTTCAAGTCTGACAACTGAATCCAACCATGTCTCTGTATTGGGGTGTTCCTACCATGAGTGTGTTCAAATAAGCAACATTTGAAATGCTGATTGCAGTCCCATAACCATTATAGAGCTGTCTCAAAATCAGCTACCAGAAGTTATTAGAAACTTTGAATATTCAAGCTTTAATAGATTTAAAGATACGATAAGATTTTTTGCAGGGAAATGAGTGGTTTATGTATCTCTGTGACATCTCCTTGTTGAGTGAGGAATCACTGTAGTTGCATTTCCAAGATGAAAAGGTTTTCTATCTTACACCAGCCTACCAGCTTCATCCTATGAATGGGGGAAAGAGCTGGAAAGGCACTTACTCAGAGAAAAGAGCAAGGAATTAAGTATTTCTGTTTATTTGAAACAACCTGGACCCAAAGCCAGTCAGCTGGAAAAGACATTTGGAGAAGTTATTTTCTGATTGTCCTATTTGCTTTTCAAGTCAACACACACATTCAGCATTCATAGCAGCCTCTGGGAGGAGCTCCATATTTTAACTACTTATTGTATGCAAACACATTTCTGGTTTCTTCTCTTTGGTTTTGGTTGTTGGCTTGCCACACTATTATCCAATTCCCTAAACAATCTCTTGGAGACTATTTACTAATAAGTTGGAAATTTAGTCTCATATAGTATGGCTCTTTTGGTATTACATTTATTCCCAAAGAGCCCTTCATAGCAAGCTCAAATTTATAAAATTATTTCCTACTACAGCCAGATGGAAATATGTAATGCCAAGTCAAGAAACTGCAACAGCACAGGATTTTTCCTGACCTAGAGTGAGGGGTGAGGTTGTCAGATGGTAAAAAAAAAAAAAAGCCTTAGGAGTAGAGGAGAAACTTGGTCATGATGCATCAGTTACCACTGACAGTACATCAGCAGTGACTCCTCACTGAAACAGGCACTTCAAAACAGTTCCTCTTACTCCATCACTAAGATACTCCCAAAACAAAGGACCAGCCTAGAGATATAAGGAGCAGGAACATGTTTCTTTTGCAGTCCCAGACTGTCACTGTGCCCACGGGGACAGCTGGCTCTCAGCTTTGCAATCTCTACTGGACACCTGCTGCACCACAGGCAGTTGCAAGCCCACCATCCCCAGCTCTGAAGCACAGAAGGAGGACAGAAATCTTACTCTGGTTGCGCCTTGCTGTCTTTCTCAGCACAGCCTCCTCCATTCGGGCTTTTTCTTCCCTTTCCCTCCAGCGTCTCAGCTGCTCTTCTCTCATCTTGTAGAATAAGATCTGCTTTTGCTCTTCGTTCAGCTCTGCCAGGAGCTCAGGGTCAATATACATATCACGCAAAATTTGCTGCAGCATGATGACTCCAAAAAAATAAAAATAAAAAATTTAAGGAAAAACAAAAGAGAGCAAAACCTGCTTCCAATTAAACCCACTACAGTGACAAAAACCCACTGATGGCATTCCAGAAAGCAAACTGCAGCAAAGGAGCTCTCCCACACCTGCCTGCCCAGGAGAGGTTTGATTCCTGCTCTGGCCCTTTTTGTGCAGGCATATTCTGCTCCTTGTCTTGACAGGGACAGAGTTCTTTTCTTATCTCATCCTCCAAATGTAGGGACAGGTGTCAAGTGAATGCAAGAAAAATGAACAGAAAAGGCTAGGGAAAAACATTAAATGAAAAGGCTGGGAGAAAAAAGTAAAAGTCACTTGAGTGCTCCTGACTGCAAGCCAGTAAAAATAAGAGATTCTTGATTGAACCCAGCAGCTTTGCTCCCTTGAGCAGAAGAAAATTCAACATAGAGAGTCTCAGAGTTTCAGGTCAAGCAGTTCCCTTCAGCAGCAATACACTCCCAAGGGCATGAGCGTTGCCCAGGGGTTTAAAGTGATGTCATGGTTAAAGGTATCACCTACACCAACAATATCCATGTCACTTTGGGAACTGATCTCTCCTGATAAGAGAGGAGTTTGCATATTATTTCTCAGTCTGGCCTGTTAACCAGTCTCAACAGAGTAAGGCATGTTAGAGGTCCTAGTTACCTGGTGTTGACAAATACTGTCATGCAGCAAATTGACTAAAATGCTTCTAAAATTAAAAGCAGATGTTACAAAAGCCACAAGAATCCTGTTATCACTTTATAAATAAATCAATATGAATTAAACAGGACTAAGTTCTCAGCAATTCGTGCAGGCTATGCAAGCCCTGATGTTAATTCATTTTCCACTTGATGATTGGAGAAAGTTACAATGCTGCTCTTCCAGGAGATTATAGCTCTTCACTATGTAACAGTTTTATCAAAATCAGCAAAAATAATATTTCAGCACTAGGGCCAATAGCCACTTAATTTTGTAAAAAAGCCAAACCAAACCAAAGCCCAACACACTAAAAAACCTGAATTTGGGAGCCTGTTTTCACTGGGCAGGGGCTCAGCTCCTCTGGAGAGTGAGGGCACACTGTGGTAAGGGGCTGCTTTGTGAGACAAACCAAAGGGTGGCCACTCAGAGGCACAACAAAGCACAGATCACACCAGCAGGCTGAGCCACACCCCACTGCTTGATTTTTACACAAGAAGGAAGAGAAAGAGCAGGCCTGTTTCCTCATGAGAAACCTGCTTTATAGATAAGGAGCTATCAAAGCCCTGTATGACTTCCATGACCTCAGATTCAAAAACATCCTGCTAATGCACCTATATGTCCTAATTTTGAAGAATGTAAAATACTATTGCCCTAATTTAGGTGCAAAATCAAACTGATAGAAACCAAAATTCTTGTGAAGATATTCTATCACCTGGAAACACAATGCCAAAGATGCTGGAACAATACCTTCAGCTGAAACAGGATTTCAGAACCCATGGGCTGTAAGAAATCTAGTCCACATGCTACTCTGCAATTCAGGATTGGTCTTATGTATAGATTTTGTCTCCTAAAACAAAATGCTTTTATTATTACTATTATGTTTTAAGAAATACAAGCTTGGCAAGAAAAAAATTAGAGTAAGAAAGATTTTGTTGTGCCTCTCTCTTTTACTTAGTCAGGTATAGAAAGGGGAGACCCTGAGGGGGTTGGCTTTTGTTTCTCTGCTTCTATTCAATTATATTAGAGCTGTGCCTCCACATTTTGGCACTAATTGAAAAAGACTCGCCTTTGCAAAGGCTTCAGGGCAAGCAGTTTCACTGTTTTACTCATTTGTCATCATTCTTTATTTTATTTTGCTTGACTTCACAGACCAGAAATTAAATCCTGATCAGAAGCTATCACGGTGCAGAGAACAAACTCTTCATCATGGATTATGTGTATTTGAGCATGACAAGTAGCACCATCTCTGAACAGCATTCAGCTGCAGAAGCAGCTCAGGATGGAGATACAAGACACAAAGCAAATATTCAGCAACTACTTGTAATGTTCAGTGAGCAACCACACAAGAAAAACGGCAAGATCAAAGAGATTAAATGACACTTCACAAACAACCTGTTGCCTGAAGATTATTCTCCAAAAATATTTGAGGATGGTAACCAAATGATCAAGTGGAATTAATCTTTGTGGGAATTATTGTTTCTTTAACAAAGTAAAAAGTCACAAGTGGAAGAGTTATCATCTAACCACAGCAGCAAATCTGATCAACTTTCTTGTCATGGATTCTCTTTGGGTTGCAGCAATCCCAAAATAAAAAACTGGAAACACAAAGGAGAAGAAAGACAAAGAAACATCCCACCTGATGTAAGCCAATATCCAACAGAAGTAGAAACAAACATCATAAATTTTGCCATTAATTTTTAACCTATTAGACACCGATTCTCATTGCAGTTCATGTTTTCACAAATGTCCAAACACATAGATGGAATTATCACAAAAAAAAACTATTATGATCTCTCCTGATTGCTCAGAAAATTAAGCAAATCTATGAAATCCAAAATAACCTTGAAGAAACACCAAACCTACTATAACTCTTGTTATTTCTAAGATTATCTCATATTTTGTAAAGTGATGAGCTTTGCAACTCTAACTAATGTAGAGTAAAAAAACTCAGGGATAGGAAATAATTCAGGCAAAACAAAAAATAAAAACTGTATTGCAAAAAATTATTCTCTCTCCCCTTCCTTCACAGGCCAAATTAATATATAGATAAATTAATGACTGAGAAGAGCAGGGAAATTTGTAGTAAGATGCCTGCTTCCTGATGGTGGCCATCCATCATTTTTTCAGCCTTCCTGAGAAGAATTTTGAATGGTTTAGGAGGACAATGAGCTCTCCATTGCTTTTCCACCTTGGTTACCCCTAGTTCCATAGTCCAAGCTAAGCTTAAATCATTGCAGAAACATTACAACTCAGCAGCCTATGCACAAAATAAAAGTGACTATTAATGGAGTTCTTTGTTGGCAGTTATTACCTTACAATAATTGCCACAAAACTTGATGCTCTAATTAGTAGCAGTCTCTGCAAGGAGCCCAAGCTGTTTAAAATTTAAGCTTGGAGTTTCCTTTAATCTTAAATGGCATCTTCTGGGACTAGGCACACTGTGCCCCTCCTCTGGTGTAGCATCTTTCTGGCTAAGCACACCTCAACACTATCACTAGAATCCATCTGCTGGGGGAAGGGGAGGGAGGGAGAGGAAAAGGTGCAGAAAAACACTTTCATTTCATTTTTTAAGGGGAAGTCCTTTATTGACTAAGGGCTGCAAATCTCTTCATCCATTTTCCTCTGAGCATGTGCATCTTCCACTCCCTGAACTGAACAGCTCACTGGCAATGCTGATTATTGCTGAGCCAGGAGAACAGCATTTGCATTTTATGACACAGCCATATAATCTACTCTAGCCATGTAATTTGCATAAAAATATTGTGCTATAACCTACACATTACAGGGGAAGAGAGGGCTGTAATGCATCTCTCTCCTTAAAAATTAATATGATTAAGAAAATATTATTTTTAAAAAAATGTTTTCTTCACATGACTGAGAAAAAAACCCAGTAAAGAAAAAAGGTGGCAATCATGTTGTCCAGACTCTGAACTCCATGGTCTTAATTTCTTATGGTTTGTGTCTTTATATTTTTCATTTTTTAAGAGGAAGGAGCATGCAGTATCTTAACTTTTTAAGTCCTGCTGTGTCATCCTCAAAAGAAGAACAGTAGAACCCAGAACTAAATGATGCAGGAGGGAGCTGACTATGTAAAGGGGAAAGGTAAAATTAACATTTGGTTGAGGTCTCCAAAACCCTACAAATCTGTCACTACAAAAGCAAATCTGCTTTGGCATTCCCCATGAACTAGCCTTATGTCTGATTTGAAGTTGCTGTTAATTAAAAGCTAGAAAAAACCAAAACCAATTGAGAACCATCCCTTCCCCACCTCCTCTATCACAGATGGGCACAACAAAACCTGCCTGGTTTTCCTCCATTTCCATAGTCAAGTCTGTGGCTCCCTCTAAGGGCTGAAATGAGTTTTTCAGCAGCACAATCTGCAGCTGGGTCAGAATGATTTTTTCCCCTGAAGCTGCTATTCCACTATAAAGCACCACATAAAGCAAAAATGAGGGTATGTTTTTCCAGACCTTCCTTTTCAATAGAGCTCTAGCATCAGTAAATCAGACTGAAGCATGTTTTGGAGCATGGACAGGCTTTGCATGCTCATCATCTTCCCTGTACTCATTCAAGACTGCTATTTCTGCAAGGCACTCTGCCAACTACAAAGAAAAGGAAAATTCTAAAAATTTAGATTTGTATAGCAAAATACGAATTAAATAGATAGATTAAAATCTTATCCTAATGAAATGAAATGCAGCAAGAGAGCTACAAACCAATCCATGAGAAAACATGTCTTATACTGTCAGTCTTACAGCTGCAAGTGAAACAATGCTAACTGGGGATTTTAATAGTGCAATGAAGATTTACAGTGGCAGGAATCTCAGAGACATAGGTTTTGCTTGGTTTTATTTTAATTCAAATCTGGTATTCCTCAGTCCCACACAGAAATCAGACAATCACAATTATAGAGAGCACTGACGGTAGGGAAAGCAAAGGGATAGGCACTAACCCAGGGAAAGCAGTATTTGCAGTCCAGGGCTGCAGAGAGTAGAGCCATCTGTCATTACTCCAGTCTCCCAAGGTTGGTTTTGTGCTCTGCAACACTACCTGCCCTTCAGAAGAAGTCCCATCAGTGATTATTTTTGCCTGGCACTGTGGCAATCCTACCCAGAAAGATTACTTTAGGGCCATCCCTTTGTGTTCTGTGCCACAGCTGTCACACACACAATTACACTGGAGCCTGTGATGCCTTCAAGGTTCGGCACAATTTATTAGAGATTTGGGGACCTGAGAGCAAAGGACAGCACTTTGATTTTTCTTCAGTTTGATAATAGATATTCTGACCTAC